CGCAGAGAGAAAAACGAGAGAGAATGATTAATGAATAGAACATTAGAACATGACCGATGTGTCCGATCAGGGTCATGAAGAGTAGTGACGGGTAGAATCCGTCACACAATCCATTACTGTCAACATAATCACGGAAGGGAGAGAAAGAGAGAAATTTGTCTGTATGGAATCCGACAAAATTCAGCAGTGGATCATTGGACCAGTCCATGGGAGAAGTTGTTCCACTTTATGGGGAAATGCTTCACCCCACATAAAGTCACACATGCCAAGGAGAAATGGAACGAAAGAATAAAAAAAATATATATATATACATATAATCTATTATATGATACTGTATATACACTCAAATATAGAGAGAAATGGTTTTTCTTTCACCGGGAAATGGTTCTTCTTCCAAAGCGAAATGCTTAGACCGTATATCTTTGTCCACAAAGTAATTGATCTCCTGGAAGAAGTATCATGGTAGCACTATTTTCTAGTACCAGTTCCCTGTTTCAATTCAAGTAAATAAATTTTGTTTAGTTGTTAATTTTCAGTTGGATAATCGAGAGGGACATTATTTATCGCATCTACCTTCGAATGATAACGAATAATTACCACTGTTCATTGACTCTGTCTAACTTAACATGCAACTTTTCCGTAATCATTTTCAACTCAAACAGAAACAATACGATTGAATTTCCAATTAGTCGAACATTCTCTGCATAATTATTTTTAAATATTCTGATGAAATTCTGTTTTCCAGATCGAATACTTTGGTGCACCCTATGAATCCAACCAAAGACTTCGCAGCAATCTCAAAGCGAGCTGCATGCTACAACTAAAAAATCCATTTCTGATAGAAACATCCCTTAAGATGAGACTATTTTTGTGGAAAAAAGCGTTTCCTTCTGACTTTATGTGGTTTAAGCATTTCTGCTTGTAGTGGAACAGTTTCTCTTTGAGAGGGGGAAATGGTTCAGCCCTCACAAAATTGACGACTAACACTTTTCAGCTATGCTTTTGCTTTCTATTCGAGTTTAGTTCATCACAATACTCTAGTATTTGTTTCATATAATCAAGAAAAAATTTATGTATTGAATGTACATCGTTTTGTTCTTATTCTTCTTCTGTTACGCCTGTTTGTTCATTATCGCCATCTATTTTGTACAGATTCTCTCTTTTCATCACTCTTGCTTTATTGAGACTCATCTTCTATTAAATTATCAGATAAATCTATTTGATAGAGTGCGTAGATTCATCATAAAAATTCGAACGATGAGACCGACAAGAATGTGTCAATAAAATCTTATGCTTATATCTTTGGACAAATGTCGACCTATGTTAGAGCACATTGCCAATTTCTAAACAAATCAAATGTCTTTCTGTTGTTGGAAAGAGCAACGTTTGAACTACAAATTTTTCCGCGAATTATTTTTCTGAAACAAATCTACAAAGCAGAAGAAGTCAAAAATCAAATACCTCTAAAAATGTTCTTGCAACTTTTTTACAACTTGGAAAGTTTCTCGTTCTCAACTATCTTGGCCTATAAGAATCCAATTCAAACAAAAATACACCAATATGTAGTACATTAAAAGTTCTATTGATGTCAAGTTTGGTCGATTTTTTTAAGATCTATTCTTGGCTCTTTAATTTAAAAAAAATGAGATTGAAATTTTTGTAAAATACAGTCTTCTCCAAGAACAGTCAGTTTGGAAAGAGATCAACCAAAATCTCCAGAAATTATGCATGAGCTGAACTTTTTGTGTGTTATTTGTTTGAAATACCTATGATCCTAGAAACTTAGCAGAAAAAAGAATTCAAAGAATCTATTTTATTCTTGTGAAACAGTCCAGTATTAAGAAAGATCAAATTATAGTGTCATCTAGAAACAGCTACATTTTTCTAAAAAAACAAGACTAAATTTAACTTCCATTATGCCATTGGAAAGAGCACTCTTTATGCCAAAAAAACCATCATTAAACGTGCGTTTTCATTTTGCTTCTGATATAACAAAATAAACACAAAAAATAGAAAATGTCCAAGTCGAACAATAAGTCCGTATACGGTCGTTTACAGTGCCGTATTACTGCGTCAAGTATTTCAAGAAAATACGGACAATAAATGGCCGTAAACTAATCATCTTTTCACCGTTTGCTGACGAAAAATGAACCGTAACTGTATCCCATTTTGATCGAACTGGGTGATATTGCGCGAAGATGAAGCTGCAAGAACTTTTTTAGAGCTGTTTAGTTTTTCGTCTTCTCTTGCTTTGTAGATTCACTCCATAGAAATAAGCCCGGCACAGAATTTTGTTGTTCAGACTTTTTTTTTTCTAACCAAAAAAAAATCGAATGATTTAGAAGTTAGTAATATAGTCTAATAGAGTTTGATATTTATCCAAACAAATGCGTCAAATGTTAGTTTCAAAGATATATTAGATGGATCATTGAATGTGTTTATCTACTTTAGGACAGCATAACTATGATAGATCTGCTTTGACAATTTATTCCAAAATGATTAAAAAAATGCCATAAAATTATTCTATACATCAAGTTTTCTCTCCGAAATACACATAACACATAAAAGAAACCGTCAAAACTAATTTTCTCTTTTCTCTCCTTCCATAATATGCCACGCTAGTTACCGCTAAAAACATATAATTTGATATTCACAGTTTTGGCACAATCATGAATTTAAAATTAATATACAAAACAAATCACAATTAAAGTTAATTGTATAGAGACTAATCCAGAACTATTTAAATGACAAAAGATATGTTTTTCACAAGTGAAAAGAAATCTCTTTTTTTACTATATGAGCATGATTATATCACGAGAACTAAGGACCATAGGCATGAATTCTTTTAGGATTTCCCTAATTCCACTGAGGTGTATATATGACTAAAATATCAGCACGAAAGTTCAGAATCAATTGCAGTAATTTACTCATCAGTATTAATCATAAAATAAACTCGACCGATTCGGAAGCCATCACAAAAATTACAAAACAAATATCAAGTATTAGTAATAGTCTCAACCATTGGTGTTCATCAATCTAAACTAAATAGAATTTTTTCCACTGCACGATTCAACATATATTCGAAAAGAGTACAACAACAAAAAACAAAGTGAAGATGAAACAGTGATTCATGCACTCCCACGAAAGCAAATAATCGATGTTATCAACGCTCATTACATTGATATTGTTCATTGTAGAAGTATCGATAAACTTTCCGCTAGGAAGAAACAAACAGATGTTCACTCTTTTCATTCTCTTAATGATACTTATTTTTGTGAATCACCATCTTATATATTCATAATGATAGACAACTATCGAAACGTTGCCTAAAAAAAACATCACAGTTATGCTATAATGAAACTATATATTTACAAATCAAATAAAATTTCACGAAACTATCAAAAAAACCAACTTATATTTAATGACTCGAAAATCCGAAAGTACCATACAATATACTATTCTTAGCATAAAATTTCTAGCGAAGAAAATAAAGCTAAAACAACATATGATTTGTACAAAAGAAAATGAATAGTGTATCAAATCGTAAGCATTTTTTTTACACAGGATAACCTTCTAGTTAAGTTCGTATTGATTTCAGCTCGTCACAAGAGAACAGGAGAATTCTCGGCAAAATATTCATGGCTATCAGCATTCATAATTCCTTGTGACGGATCACTCAATGCCAGACTTCATATAACTATGCATTATTACCAACACATTGCTCATCTGCTTTTGGAAAAGCTGGTATTTTCCCGTATGATCCTCGTGTAATCAAACGTGATAAAATAAAAAAAACATCTTCAAGTTCAACAGCACCAAATGGTTTACCTCGTTCAAAATCTGTCGAATTTGATTACAATGTTATTGATACAACAACGACAACGCCACCATCAACATTATGCTCGAATCGAAACCGTCAATTGGTTAAGCATCCATCCGATCCAGTTCTTTTTTCTGGTAAGTCACAAGGAAATAGAAAAACAATATTTGTAATGCATTATTGTAGGTTATGCTGAGGCAAATACAGATAACTCACAAACATCATCAAACTCGTACGAAAATGTTATCACTTCTCTTGATAATGCTCTTAGAGCAACTGATTCAATTATCTTACCATCATCAAATACTTCTATTCAATCGACAACAACAAATCTGTTTTCCTCAAATAACTTTGATATGTCAACATCGAATACGAATCATAATTCAATAGCTTTATCAACATCTATAAATAATACTTCATTGTCTTCATCGACATCGAATAAAAATGATAATTCATTCGTTTTTTCTCAATCGACAGGTAATCTTATACCACTTTTGAAAAAGAGAGTAAGCATAAAGGGTTTTAATTATATTTAGAAAATGATCGTACCTTGCATGCTATCGAGATGATCGTCAAGAAACATTTTTCTCAAGTATCGACAACGCGTCCGGCAATGAAGAAGCGTCTAATTGATGGAACAAATGGTAGATGTGTAACAGATCTTGACGAACTAGCATTGACAGCAATTAAAAAGAAGAAAACTACTGAAGCTAGACTTACCAAAAATCATTCGAAGAAAATCACCGTTACACAAAAACAAAATGTACCATCAACTACAGATATTTGTAATGCTAATATAATCAATACAAGTAATTCAACTAATACAGCACCTATTGATACTCATAATGTTTCACTGCCACCTATTTCGTATATGTTACCATCTAATACTACTCCATTGGTTCCAAGATTTCAATGAAATTCAGAATCATATGTTCCTTTACATAATACATCATCGACATCTACGCAATGCCATTTATGTTTTAATTACATTAAACCAGCAGAAATGACCAGCAACTGCAATCTGTGTCATAGAATTCTTTGTTGGCAATGTAGTAGCAAGATGGACAATAACTATCAACTTTGTCAATTTTGTAGAGCATATTTTACAAGTCAACAGCAAAATGACTTTGATTATAATCAATAGTATGAAATTATCTGCAGGGATTAGGTTCACATTTATTGTGAGTTTCTCTAGAACATGTATGAATATTAACTATATTTTATGCTGAAAAGACAACAAACGTTATTTTTGTTTCGTTTTTTTCCTAGTAAGCTTTGTTTTCCGTCTCTTTTGTTTAATTATGTTCCCTTGTTTCATAATGTGAACTTTATTCGACAGAAATACAACCATTCATTGGAAATCTGAAATATTCATATAAATTTTTACTATAAATGATCTCAAAGCAAAGGCAAATAAAAAAAATAGAATTTTTATGCTGAGTAAAAAAAATGATTCTTCTTGTTTCTTCAGAAAACTTGTGTTAGTAATAGGAAATGATGTCGTATTACTTCATAATTGTAGAGAAAAAAATTCTATGCATTATTGGTAACGGAGATTTTTCAGCTGAATATACTCATCGCTTGAAAAATTATTTGAAAAAAAATTTGAAGTTCCATACTGTTTTTTACGTATTTATCCAATTACCCCATAGCTTATCATTATCTATGCAATTACCCCATTTGGGGTAATTGGAAAAAATTTTTATTAATTTTTGTAATGATTGTATCAGAAAACAACTTATTTTAATTAAATTATCTTAGTGAAAAATTGTTAGCGATTGTAGAGGATGATCTTCTCTATCAGTCTATGAAAGAATTACTAATTAATGTCATATAATTAATTAAAAAAGTTAATTTTAATTGTGTAGTGTAAAATACATGGATTTATCCAATTTCCCCGTCCTCTTAGCATATTTATCCAATTGCCCCTGGTGGGGTAATAGGAAAACATGTGCTGGGGCAATTGGAAAACAGGTCGGAAATACGTACCTGTAGCTTGAATCTATATAATTCTTATATAGTTAGATAGTGTATTAGTCATTCTATTTACATGTCAAACCTTGTAAAAAAATATTCAAATATAAAAAAATTATAGCGAAAGCGAAAAAAAATATGGAAAACATATATCCAATTGCCCCACACGACTCTATTTCTTATTGTTTGTTTCTTTAGAGAATTTGTGCAGCATTAAAATGGACGGCTGGATTTATAATTTTTCTTATAGCTTTAATTATACTTGGGTATATCTTTTCATTTTTATTTTTCTTTAAATAATATGTTTGTTATTAGAATATTTGTTCCACAATTAGCCACATTACCATCGAATAATTCAACAAGTGAATGAGAAAATATTAAATATTTAATTAATCATTTTGATAGTTCAAGTAAATAAATAAATATTCTTTTGATTTAATTACAAAAAAACAAGAATATTTTTAGGAGTGGAAGATTCTATATCATTTTCAATATTTACATTAAGTATTATTGGTTTTCTTCTTTTAACAATTTACACAGTAAATAAATCTGATTGGAAAATTTAAATAGACATATGAAAAAAAAAATCTAATCTTTTCTTCAGGGTTATGGTTCAATTGCTTATCCATTATTTTTAATTCGTGGTAAAAGAAGTGCACGATTACAACAAGTTATAGAAGAACAACTTGCAGATATTCGAAATCAAATAAAAACATTAAAAGCTCAAGTAAATTAATTTTTTTATTTAAATAAATAACGAACTTTTCATTTAATTAGTATCCACGTCGTGTTAAAATCCCATCTCATGATAGACGTAAATTAGGTATATAAAATTAAATATAGTAAATATACTTAGGGTATACCAAAAGTTCTGATCACAGTTTTTAAAATTTAATAAAGCAATAAATATTGAATATTTTACTAAGGCAATATATAGTATAACGTCTCGTCTTTAATAATATATAGAGCAACTCTCTCTTAGACTTAGTTCTAACATCCTTTCAGACTAAATCTATAATTTTACAGACAATGCAAATATTATTAATTCTTGTTCAATGGTCAGGTNAACAAAAGTAGGCTTATCCAATTTTTTTCCAGCATCAAATACTTCTATTCAATCGACAACAACTAATCTCTTTTCATCAAATAACTTTGATATGTCAACATCGAATATGAATCACAATTCAATAGCTTTATCAACATCTACAAATAATACTTCATTGGCTTCATCGACGTCGAATACAAATGATAATTCAGTCGTTTTGTCTCAATCGATAGGTGATCTTACATAGCTTTTGAAAAACAGAACTAGCATGAAAGTTTTAATTATATTTAGAAAATGATCGTACCTTAAGTGCTATTGAGATGATCGTCAAGAAACATTTTTCTCAAACATTAACAGCACTTCTAGCAAAAAAAAGCGTATAACTCATGGAACAAATGGCAGATGCGTAACGGACCTCGATGAAATAGCATTAATAGCAATTAAAAAGAAGAAAATCACTGAAAAAAAACTTAACAAAAACCGTTCAAAGAAAATCACCGTTACACCAAAACAAAGTGTACCTTCAACTACAGATATTTGTAGTGCCAATAAAATTAGTACAAGTGATTCAACAAATACAACACCTATTGGTACTCATAATTTTTCACTACCACCTATTTCCTATATGTTACCATCTAATACTTCTCCACTGGTTTCAACATGTCAATCGAATTCAGGATCATATGTTCCTTTACATAATAAATCATCAACATCTACACAATGCCATTTATGTTATAATTCTATTAAACCAGCAGAAACGACCAGCAACTGCAATCTATGTCATGGAATTCTTTGCTGGGAATGTAGTAGCAAGATGGACAATAGCTATCAACTTTGTCAATTGTGCAGAGCATATTTTACAGGTCAACAGCAAAATTATTCTGCTTATTATCAATAGTACTGGATTGTCTGCAGAGATTAGGTTCACCTCTATCGTAAGTTTTTCTGGAACATGTATAAATATTAACTATAGCTTATGTTGAAAAAAAAACAAACGTTGTTTTTGTTTCTTTTTTTTTAGTCAGCTTCGTTTTCCGTCTCTTTTGTTTAATTATGTGTTCACTTGTTTCATAATGTGAACTTTATTCAACAGAAATACAAAAATTCATTGGAAATTTGAGATATTCATATAAACTCCTCCTATAAACCATATCAAAGTAAACAAAAAGGAAAAAATATAATTTTTATGCCAAGTGAAAAAAGGCCTATTTTTCTTACTTCTTTAGAAAAATTGTATTAGTAATAGGAAATGATATCGGATTACTTCACAATTGTAGAGAAAAAGATTGTAAGCATTTTTGGTAACAGAAATTTTTGA